GACGGTGCCACCGAGCAAACAGCAGTACGAGTCGGTTGTGAGTCCCGCTGGATCCTCCAAAAAAATCCGAGAGTGATCAGAGGGGAGAGGAGGCTCGTTGGTGCGCTACCAGATCCCGTGTAGGGCTTTGTAAACTACTCCTCCCTGTCGCACCTGTCTCTGGAAAAAACTGATCCCGTACGCCGGCCTGACATCCCTAGGACAACTGTCTCAGGGGTTGTGTGTCCGTGCCCCCCTGCTAGTTTCAACACACACACGCACACACACACACACACACACAAACGCGGCACCACCTGTCCCCGGTACAAAACAGCCCACAAAGAGCTTCTATGTCGCGCAAAGACACATGGCATTCCCCGTTAGTCTCTGCAGCAATACTCCCTCGCGGACAGCCGTCCGATATCCCCCCCTCAAGTGATCTGGAAACGCCGGACGCAGTGAATGAGGAAAAGGAGAACGCAGTAACAGCCCGTCCAGCACACCACCGGCACCAAACCAGCTGCAACGTTTGGAAATTTCATCTGCCGCTGCTCGCCCAGTCGTGTTATCAATCTTCCGTCCCCACAATAGTTGGTCTATCTCGCCGCTGCGCACGACTGCTGCTCTGTCATTGCTGCGTCTTTTCCACCTCGGGTCTCACCGAAAGAAAATACTGTCCCTCTGTCCGCAAATGAGCCCCACTTCCACAGCACAGAGTCAAGCTCGGGATCCAGCGCAGGGCAAGGTCCCATTCATCGGGTTTATTAAAAATAGTTCCTGTTCCTTAGGCTGCGCTCCGGAGCTTTTGGGGAGGCGGGAGGACCACGGTGTTTGTCTTCTAGCGGTTGTGTGAGCTACAGCATCTCCAGCGCTGTTCCCTGCTCTCATCCACAAGAGACTCCAGGAGCCCGTTTGTGCCAAAACCTGAAGCAGAGTTATGCAGCGACTGGAATGGAATTGGTTATTGGCTAATTGGGCAAATGTCGTGCCGACACAATCCAGTCATTGCGGCACATTAATCCACTGTTGTCTGTCAACCAAATTTCACGGTGTCAAGATTTATTGAGAAGTGAAATTCGACACAGACACGAGGTCAGACACACACCTTGGGCGCACAGGGGCTGACAAGAGGAGACACTGTTGGTATAGGTCAGCTTTATTCGAAGGAATGTTTCTACCAAAAGAACAAACAAACAGATCTGAAATGGTGCTGACGTTAAAGTAAAACCACGAGGATGAGTCAAAGCAGTTTCCCGGTTAAGGTGACAGGTTTTTTCTTTTTTTTTTTTGCTTTCATTTCTGGAGAATCAGGTTGTTACGCAATGTGGACAGGATGTGAATCCATAGCCATGGTGATGATATATTTTGGTCGAACACAATTAATGGTCATACGGGAATTATTAGTTGTTGTAAAACATGTTATTTGTGTGTGTTACTTTTTGTTTTATATGCTCAATTAACAGCTTGTTTCGTCAACTGTGAAGCAGCGTCACAGTGGACAATAAAAATGATATTTATTGTAAAATTCAAACATCACTCAGTGAGCAGGGGGAGAAATGTGTCCATTTGCATCCACTTTCATCATTTGATTCAGCATACATGGGCCTATGTTATGGCACACACTTAAGGAACAATTTCTTTTCACTACAATTTCTAACTCGGTGAAAAAGAAATGCTTTTCACCAGCAGTCTCCATCCTTGAGTTTAATATCTTTTCTGTGTCTTCTCATTGAGCCAAAATTAACACAACAGAGGAATAATTTAGTCCCATTAAAATTAAATCTCAATAAGCCTTCAGCCAAACGTAATTGTTGCTTTATCATACATAGTGTTTGAGCACTACGTCCTCATACTTAACCCAAACAGAACTCTAAATGGGCTGTAGAGGACTCGATGCCAAAAATGACCACACCAAAAAGCATTTACAGCTCTGTCAACGGATAACGCTGGTGCTGTGGTAAATGAGCTAAGACTTACTGAACCTTGCCATTAAATTACTAAGAGCCAAGGCCACTTTCAAGCTTTGATTTATGAATTTAATCTGCTGAAATAATGGCAAATAGGTTTGAGGGCTCATGTGTGCAGCTCCCTCTCTTTACCATCTTAATAAAGCTACTGGCAGCAATCTGAAAGCCTTTTTGATACAATCTGCTAATCAGCGTTGCCAAATCAGATGACTCAATTTCTGATTTGGGAGAAATGTGCAAACACAGTCCCCTTCTATCATTCAGTATAAATTTAGTTGAAGGTTATTTTATTCAAGATTGAATCCAAAAAAGGATTATTGGATAAAATGTTGTAAAGTAAAGGTTTTAAAAGAAGCACTTTCTCTAATGTAATCGTCGGAGTATATTTTAAAAAGAAATGCCAGAAAGATATCTAAGGCTTTTTCTTGGCATATTGTAGCTATTGTTAAACAATAGCTACAATAACAACTTTGTGGAGCTTATGATATGGCCTACTGTTGTCTGACATTGATATTATTGTCGGACATGTTTTAGTTTGCTTGTTATTTGCAGTTTTGTTTTTTGTCTTATCTTCATTTACACAGCAGAAATGTGCCTGCACCAGCACTGAAGTACTTATGAACATTATTCATCCTGCTAACGTTATCATCCCTGGCTGCCTGTGACTTTGCAGCATCCGTAATTAAAAATAAAGTTTCTTTTGTCCAGAGGAGACCCGCTCAAAGGCTTTGAACAGGCCAAATCAGGTTACAACAGTATTCACTAACGGCGGAGTAATTATGAGCTGTCCCTACACACATATTCTCACATCCAAAGAAGCATGCCTGTGTGTGTAAAAGACTCGAGGTGTTCAGTCTTTTAATAACGTGCAACAACTAAAGGACGAGATTGTTTGAGTGCCTGGTCCAAGAATACCAAATGCATACACCGTGGGAAATGTGTTCATTCTTCTCAGAGGGATTTAGAGAAAAAGATAAGTTTGCTGTCTGTGTGAAAACCTGTGTGTGTGTGTGTGTGTGTGTGTGTGTGTGTGTGTGTATGTGTGAGAGAGAGAGAGCTGACACTTTTTATTGCTCTGTCCCTGCTGCTTCACTGCACTTTCACTCCTCCCCCTAAAAGCAGCCACTTTGGCCACAAGTGAAAGTTATGCAATAAAAGGTAAACTGAGTCAACAACAGTCCTGCTACTCTACTGCTGTACATTTAAAGGTGCATTGTGTAGGATTTAGTGGCATCTAGTGGTGAGGTTGCAGATTGCAACCCACTGAATACCCCTCCGCTGAACCCTCCCTTTTCCAAGTGTGCCGGAGAACTACGGTGGCCTTCAGGTGATGAACAACATGATGGTCCTCTAGAGCCAGTGTTTGGTTTGTACCTCCTGGGCTACTGTATAAACATATTGGTGCATCATGGCGGAATCTGTGGACAAGGACCCGCTTCCTATGTGTATGGGCTCATTCTAAGTTAACGAAAACGATTTAGTTAGTTTCAGGTGTTTAAACAGTAATGAAAAGTTATGATTATATTCCACTTCTGCCAACAAATCCCCCTAAATACTACACAGCATTCCCTTTGAGGAGAAATATGTTACATTTTACCACAAATATTTGAGAGACATAATTACTTGTTACTTAGCAGATTCGTATTTTTCCGACATATGGCGAGCTAATAAAATACAATGTTTTTATGTTAAATGCCTCAAGCTGCTGCATCATTACAACAATGCAAACATGTTTATACATAAGCTCTAAGCCCACTGTAGCCACACTATACCTGCCTAGCATCAAACGGCACACAGACACAGTTGGCGACTGGTTATTAGAGCTTAGCATTTAGCTTTAGCAGCTACATAGCCACATATTTACATTAAGGAGGTGGTGGAGGCCAAAAACAGAGCTAAAAGTAGAATGAATATTAGTCTTACATTCGACAGGTGGCCAGAAACACGGCTCCAAATGAATGTTGCTCCTTTTCTGCCTGATGGGTACATTTTTACATGGTTGTACATTTTTACATGGCTGCCTTTCCTTAACATGTCACAGGAAGATGCAGGGGGGGGAGAACGGCCACAGTGACTCAGTGTACATACTGGAGCTACTGCTGACAGCACTCTATTCAACAGCTCCATAAAAGTTTTTTTTTAATCCCCAGATTAGCTTTATTATTCTGTTTCCAGCTAATTTGCATATACATGATTCAGGACACAGGAACTTTGAGACATGTTCGACAAAAGAACTTTGTCAAAGTTTGTGTGCTGTCAATAAATAAACATTTGTTTTTGTTCACTCGTTTCCTTTCATCCCACTCGCTGTGTAGTAGACCTGAGCCAGATCGAAAGGAGAAGAGCTGCCACGAGAGAGCAAGAAAGCTGAGCAAAAAAAAAAAAAAAAGACAACCTTCGATGGAGAATGTACTTTTTAATCTGTCATGGGGGAAAGGGCCAGCACAGTCGAAATACCCCCTGCGGCACCGTGAGACAGCAGGAGGGGAGGATCGCGTGTGCCTGTGTATTAGTAGCATTAGGAGGGGGATATATGCTGATGCCAAAGTTAGATGAACTCTTCACAGCGAGGGCTTTTGTCTGCTAACCTCCAACTCAGCAGAAAAATGACTGCGAAATAAAGATGCCTCAGTCTCCAGTATGACCATTTCCCTTCCCACCAGAGTAATCACATGGTTCGCCAAGCTGCGAACAAAGGCACACAGACTGCATGCCGGGTTCACGTGATCAGACGCAGTGACTTCACAAGCTCGGCAGTCGCTCTGACAACTCAATTTAGCCAATGGAGCTCAGTCATTTCATAATCTCTGGCTTTAAGACTCTGACCAATTCATTAGTATCAATAAAACATTTGAACCATAGAACAAATCAATTTGAAATGACTTGTAATACAAGTAACAACATTATCATCACAGGTCTCAATGACTAGGTCTCCATCAACCAGCAGTGGAAGTGCTCCGATCTTTAACTTAAGTAAAAGTAGCAGTACCACAGTGTCAAAATGCTCAGTTACAGGTAAATGTCCTGTATTCAAAATCATACTCAAGTCAAAATGCACAAGTATTAACATCAAAATATACTTGAAGTAAAACTCATTATACTGAATGATCTATATTATATTACTGGATTATAATTAGAGATGCCTTTAGGTGTTAAGTAATGTTGTAGCTGGTGATGGCGGGGCTCATTTTAATTACTTTATTTACTGCTGGGTAGCTTAACCTACAATAATATAAGATAATTTATACAGCAATTTTAAATTTTGTATTCATAATTCCATCTGTGAAGTAATTAGTAACTGAAGTTTTAAAATAAATGTAGTGTACCAAGTACAATATTTTCCTCCAAAATGTAGTGGAGTAGAAGCACCATAAAAGATAAAGTACAAGATTGTACTTATGTTCTGTACTAGTCGCATTCCACCAAGGAATGTAACCAAGGACAAACATTGAAAAGCAAGTTTGATCTGACACAATCCGCCAAATCTAAACAAAATACAGTTTATTAGGATGGTGGAGAAGGAAAATTCTAACCAATATAATTAGTTGACCGAGGCAGTGTTTTTTCTTCTCTTAACTGTATTGCTTTAACCTGATGTTGAAATGTTGATGACGTTACACACTAAAACTAAGAATAAGCTGCTAGTGATTAATTTACCAGACACACCATCAACACTGCTAATGCCTAGCGCAGCATTTACGGAGAGAGTCTGTCTCACATGAAACTGGAGAAAATGACCTTGATAGTGACAGTCGCTGCTGTTCCAGTATTCATAGAAAACACTGCTCAACTTTGAATTGTTCCTCCTCTCAGCGTGACATGTAATCAGTAAAGGAAAGACTTTGTTTGGAACAAGTCTGCGGTCATGAAGGACGGATGTTTGCTTATGAAACGAGCAAACTCAACTTTATAGTTTATCCAACTTATTCACTGTTATTTGAGGTCTGTCGTGTTTTTAGTCCGTGGTACTGCACTCAGTCTAAAGATGA